ACTCAATCCCTCATTCATTACAATTAAGGAACTTAGGTGTCCCTTGCCCGAAAGGGGGTTACCGGGGCTCCACCCTTGAGCCAGGYCTGGGGAAGGGGCTTGTCAGTGAGCACCTGGTGGTCAGGTCTCTACCCATGGGACCCAGACGGGTTCAGCCCAAATGAACTACATGGGTTTGCCTTCCTGTGGACCCACCACCTGCAGGAGGGGCAGTACGAGTCAGATGCATGGATAATAGCCAAAGGCAGGGACCTTGGCGCTCTTACCCTGGCCTACTAAAACTGGCTCTTGGGACATGGAGCATCACCTCTCTGGTGGGGAAGGAGCCTGAGCTTGTGCGTGAGGTTGAGAGGTACCAGCTACATATAGTTGGGCTCACCTCAACGCACAGCATGGGCTCTGGAACCAGTATCCTCAAGAAGGGATGGATTTTATTCTACTCTGAAATTGCCCATGGTGAGCAGTGCAGAGCTGGTGTGGGTCTACTTTTGGTCTCCCGACTTGGTGCCTGTGTGTTGGAGTTTACCCCAGTAGATAAGAAGGTAGCTTCCCTGCACCATCGGGTGGAGGAACAGGCTCTGATGATCATTTATGCTTACACACCAAATGATTGCTCAGAGTACTCAGTTTTCTTGGTGTCCTTAGCGGGGGTGCTGGAAGGTGCTCCACCTGGGAATTCCTTTATTCTGCTGGAGGACTTCAATGACCACATGGATAACAACAGTGTGACCTGGAGAGGCGTGATTGGGAGGAACGGCCCCTCCGATCTGAACTCGAGTGGTGTTCTGTTATTGGACGTCTGTGCTAGTCAGTTTGTTCATCACAAACACCATGTTCGAACATAAGGGTGTCCATAAGTGTACGTGGCACCAGGACACCTTTGGTTGCAGATTGGTGATTGACTTTGTAATTGTGTCAACTGACCTGTGACCACATGTTTTGGACACTCAGGTGAAGAGAGGAGCTGAGCTGTCAACCGATGACCACCTGGTAGTGAGTTGGATCAGATGACAGGGTAAGATGCTGGACAAACCCGGTAGACCCAAGCGTGTGGTGAGGGTTTGCTGGGAATACCTGGCAGAAGAACCCATCAGATATATCTTCAACTCACATCTCCGGGAGAACTTCAACCACATCCCAGAGGCAGGGGATATTGAGTCCAAGTGGGCCATGTTCCTTGCCTCAACTGTTGAAGCGGCTGCCTTGAGCTGTGGCTGCAAAGTGTCGGTGCTTCTCACGGTGGCTATCCTCAAACTGGATGGTTGACACCTCGGGTAAGGGAGGCTGTTAAGCTGAAGAAGGAGTCTTATCCGGCCTTGTTGGCTGGTAGGACTCCAGAGGCAGCTGAGGAGTATCGGCAGGCCAAGTGGGCTGCAGCCCTGGCCATAGCTGAGGCAAAATCTCAGATGTGGGAGGAGTTCGGTGAGACCTTGGACAAAGACTCTCAATCGGCTCCAAAGAAATTCTGGCAAACCATCCAGCAGCTGAGGTGAGGGAAGCAGTGCTTCACTAACACTGCGCTCATTGAAGGTGGGGTGCTGTTGACCTCAACCAGTGATGTCTTCGGGAGATGGAAGGAATACTTCTCTTCTTCTACAGAGGAAGCAGAGTCTGAGGACTTTGGGATTGGTCTGTCCATAACTGAAGCTGAGGTCACTGAGGTAGTTAAAAAGGTCCATGGCAGAAGGACTCCAGGGGTGGATGAGATCTGCCCTAATTTCCTAAAGGCTCTGGATGTTGTGGGGTTGTCCTGGTTGGCACGTCTTTGCAACATTGCAAGGACATTGGGGGTAGTGTGAAGCAGATGGGATGAGGATCAGCACCTCTAAATATGAGTCCATGGTCTTCAGTCGGAAAAGGGTAAAGGGGGGTGAAGTTCTGCCTGAAATGGAGGAGTTCAAGTATCTTGGGGTCTTGTTCATGAGTGAGGGAAGAATGGAGCATGAGCTTGATAGACGGATTGGGGCAGCTTCCACAGTTTTGCGGGCTCTGTACCAGACTGTTGTGGTGAAGAGGGAGCTGAGCTGTAAGGCAAAGCTCTGTGTTTACCGACCAGTCTACGTTCCTACCCTCACCTAAGGTCACGAAATATCTGTGATGACCGAAAGAACAAGCTTGTGGATGCAAGCGGTTGAAATGAGTTTTCCCTTAGAGATAGGGTAAGATGTTCAGTTATCCTGGAGAGATTCAGAGTAGAGCCGCTGCTCCTCCACATCGATAGGAGCCGAGATGGTTTAGGCATCTGGTAAGAATGCCTCCTGGATGCGTTTCAGGCATGTCCAACTGGAAGGAGACTCCGAAGAAGACCCAGGACACGCTGGAAGGTGGGGCCTGGGAACGCCTTGGAGTCCTCCCAGAAGAGCTGGAAGAGGTGGCTGTGGAAAGAGAGGTCTGTCCCTGCTCAAGCTGCTGTCCCTGCGGCCCGACTTCGGATAAAGTGGAAGACAATGGGTGGATAGATAAATGTCACATAGCAACAGCTGTATACCTAAGAAACAATAATTATTATTTTTGGCTCTGCTTTGTAGACCCGTTAAGCAGCTGGAAAGTCATAGTTATTTAAATATTTTTTCATTACAGTGTGAATACTTTAAATCAATATTTAAACTAAAACATTGTATACATGCAAATTACATATTTTTTTCCTTTAATTTGACCTTTAATATTTTAACNCTTAACTTAACTTACTTACTGACTGACTGACTTACTTACTATCATAACTTAACTTAACTTAACTTACTTACTGACTGACTGACTTACTTACTATCGTAACTTACTTACTGACTTACTTAGCTTGCTTACTGACTGACTGACTGACTGACTACCGTAACTTAACTTAACTTAACTTACTTACTTACTGACTTACTGTCAGTGTCTAAAATAGGTCCAGACTACCAATGTGACTATCATCACAGAATGGGCTGCTTGCTGATTTAGCGGTGCTGTCCCACCCTTGCTTTGTTTTCCTTGAATGATTTGTTGTATCAGTGCAAACCTTATATCACAACCATCCAATATTGACTTTCCGGCTTGCTCTGGTAATCACACCCAAAAGCGTCAGGGGCCAAGGAATAATGTGAATACGTGTCAGGAAAGCTTCAAAGACACGCCTTGGTATAAGATATAATTGCATATTTGTAAGGGTGTGCTTTTGAAAGACCTGTTTGCATAATTGGTGTTTTCAAACGAAATGTTAAAAACAACAGAAGTAGTCTGGCTGGTTGAGCTCTTTGTCTCATCCAACCACACACTCATGTCTCCTTTTGTTACAGCAACAAGACACAACTTGTGTTAAAAAAAAATTCGACCATCTTTTAAACGTCATTTTCATTGCATTGACATCTCAGCCAAGATACCAGCAATGACTAACATGATGTCACTGTACTTTAGGCCAGTGTTTCTCTCAATCCTGGTCCTCAAGGACCCCTGCCCTTCATAGTCATGCTTTAGTTGTTTCCCTGCTTTATACTAAGTCTTTAAGTTCTGCAGAAGCCTGTGAATCACTCATTCATTTAAATCAGGCATGCCACAGCAGGGAAACAACTATTTTTGACATAAAATGTGGACAAGGACTCTATGGTGCCGGTGTTCTTAAACTTTTTGACCTCTGGGCCCAATTTGTTGAACATAAAGTGACACGAGGCCCAGTCACACATTACCAATGTATGGATCAAAATGATAATTATTCTAAATCTAAATCTTGGTTTAATTTTTATTTTATTTACATCATAATTAAACTATCATAACTAACATAACTAAATTAAATACACTTACAGTTTAAAAGTAAAACTCCTGTCAAATAATCACAAGACATGATTATGACAAACATTTTACATTGTAACCTGCCCATAACAATATATATA